AGAATCACTGAATGATGTGGGAAAACAAATTTTTTATAGCTAAAATTTTCTTATCAATCAGTATAGAGAGAAGGAAGCAGACTGCCCTGAGGTTTGAAGATATGTAAGATATATACAAATATATATGCATAAGCACAGACAGGCTTCCTTGGTAAGGAAGCTAGTGGCATCGTTAGGGAGGGATGAGTGTATACAGGTGGCAGGGCAGGCGACAGGGAGATGTGGTCAAGGGCCAAGGGTTAGGACCAATAAAAGCAGAGGAAAAAAAAAAAATCACACAACAGCAAGAACTTGAGGTTAGAAGACATTTCCTGACCGGGAACACGTACAAAAACTAGGAGCTTGTGACCAAAGGTACCCTTCCCTCATTAACATAGTAAAACTCACAGCCCCTAGCGCCATGACAGCTCAGGAGCCAGCCATACAAGCACTTTGTGTCCGTCATCACTCTGTCACACAGGCCCTACTTGCGATTCTTCCAAACAAGGAGCCAAAAAACCAGGCCAACACCTCTCAAAAACCATACCTGACACTACTGATAAGCCCTTGATTAAGGACAGAATGAGACATGAACCGACTTTAGGCAAGGAAGCAGACAATAAGAGTTTCCCACACTAGAAAAGTAGGCACCCAGGCAACAGGGTGAGGTTGGAGAGGGGCTTAGGATCAGACAGACATAGATCCATACCCTGAGTCTGCCACTCTCCCCGCTGTGTGGCCCTGGGAGAGTTATGTTCACTGGGTCCAAGACACCTCATCTGTGACACAGGCATAACATCTAACCTCATAAGTTTGTGGGGAAAAATAGATGAAATAACACACATGTGGTGCTTAGGAAAGTGACTTGCACACAGTAAATGACTCATCAGTGCTGGAGGAGTAGTTTGAAGACAAAGTAACTTTGCCTTCATCTATCAGGCTCTGGGCGAGGCATGGTGGCTCACATCTATAATCCCAGCACTTTGGGAGGCCAAGGCAGGAGGATTGCTTGAGGTCAGGAGTTCAAGACCAGCCTGAGCAAGAGTGAGATCCCATCTCTACAAAAAATAGAAAAATTAGCAGGGCATGGTGGTGTGCTCCTGTAGTCCCAGCTACTCAGGAGGCTGAGGCAGAAGCATGTCTTGAGCCCAGGAGTTTGAGGTTGCAGCGAGCTATGACAATGCCACTGCACTCTACTCGGGGTGCCAGAGTGAGACCCTGTCTCAAGAAAAAAATTGGAAAAAAAAAAAAATCAAGCTGTGGGTTAGATGGGGGCAGGGCATCTTTCTGACCAAAGAAGAAAATTGAACAAAAATGTGAGCTTTCCATTTCTGAGTCCACTCAAAGCACATACCCTGGTTTGGCGATAACTATTCACCTAATGATTACAACTACCTCCAGTAGGGCCTGAAGACCATCATCACACAGAAACTTCAACCAAAGACCCGACGCTTAAGGGAGGCCACTGTGGGGACAGAGGAGGATGGAGAAAGACAGGAAGAGCCAAGCTGAGAAGGTGACAAGCAGATTGAAGACATAACGAATGGGCCTGGTGGGCAGGCCACGAGAGGGTACGGACACACAGCCAGGAGGTGAGCTGTACACAGCAAGGCAGCCAGACAGCAGCAGAGGTGAAGCTGAGGGAGAGGAGAGAGAGAAAGAAGAAGTGGAGAGACCACAGGAAAAGAAAATAAAGAGGAATGTTTAATCAAAGACCTTACGTCTTCCTACCAGTGTCTATTTTGGACGCTAAGGAAAGAACCTAATTTAGGAATTTAAAAGAAATGATGGTCCAAGGGTATAAAATCTCAGACAGGAGGGATATATTTTTCCGAGTTCTGTTGCACAGCGTGGTGAGTATAGTTAATAATAGAGTATTGTATATTTCAAAATAGCTAGGAGACGAAATTTCAGATGTTCTCACCACAAACAATGTTAAGTCCTAAGGTGATGGCTATGTTTACTAGCTTGATTTAGTTATTCCACGTTGTGTTCATGAATCATAACATCACTTTGTACCCTCTAAATACCATCATAAATTGTCAGTTGACAATAAAAAATAAATTAATTTTACAAAAGCAAAAGAAAACACCCTCGTCTGATGGAGAATTGAGCGTGGGGCCACGCAGGTCTCCTCACCCCACGATCTGGTGTTGCCACCTGGCCAGTGTTTCTTGCTGACATTTCAAGATGTAATTTGAATTCTGCCCATAGATTTCCTTAATTACGGTTAGAATTTACAAACCACTCTGGCTTCTATACATCCCTCTAATTCAAACCACCTTATCTAATGCAACTGACACAAAGTCTTGACCATTTGTTTTATTTTATGCTCCACTTTGTAACTGAACTTTTTTGGGGCTGTGTGTGTGTAATCTTTTTGGTTTCGAATGCCATACCAATTTGTTTAGACAAAACTCTGCTAATTGTCAACATCCGAAGAGCAGAGGTCAAGTGTCTCTGAAGAACAGCACATGGCAGAAACTTGGATTTGACTCAAGCTCGTGTAGGGTGCTGCAGTCCCCCCTCCTGGACCTACTGTTTGCTTTCTTTACCATCCGTCGGATCTCTGCACACAGCCCGCTGCTGAGTGGCATCGCTTTGCACGGAATCAAGCTGGGTGCGGAGTGCTGCGTGCCTCATCTTCCTCACAAATACAAAGATAGGCGTTGAGAAATTACTCTCTAAAGGAAGGCAAGAACATGACGTCGAAGCCTACTGGCCCCTCTTGCTGAAACTTACATAACTCTTTAATTTGGGGATGTCTGCTTTTCTCGTCTCTAAGTAGGATAACACGCCTAAAAATAGGGAGCTACAATTAACCCAGAGGGAACGTTGTCGTTATTTAGGGACACGCTAGATAACACGGGTAGCACTAGCGGTAGCAGTAGCAACCCTCTTCTGCGTGTAAATATAGACAGCGCTACAGGGTGCTGCGGAAGAGAGAGGCGGAGAAAGGAAGGGAGGCACAGAGGAAAGGGAGGAAGGGAGAGGAGTGCTAGGACGTGGGGTACAGTTGCGAGTGCACGAGCTACTCTGCAGTGTGCCCAAGAGGACTTCGTGGAAGCATCTCTCTACTCCCTCTTCCAGAGGACAGGGCCCCTAGCACCCCAGCCCCTCCCAGCCGCCCTGCGGGCCAGGCCCCTCTCTCCTACCTCCCTTTCTAGTCCTTGGCATCTCCCATGTCGCTCCTCTAATTACACACTCTTCGGTGCATTTCTCCTTTATTCATTATAAATGCTCTCAAAAATAGCCGAAGTATATGAAGCCAAACAGTTGCCAATAAAAATAAGAAGATGACACTATTGACACAAGCTATGAAGCGCTATGGCCCACCTACCTGTGTGGCCACGGCAGCTACACCAGGTGGGTCAATTCATCCACCTTGTCACGCTCACCTTCCCGAAGGAATGCACGCCAGGCAGGCCGGGAGAGGGGACCTTACACAGATGGATCTTTCTGTCTAATCCTTCGAGTGCTTACCGTTTGATTCATTGGGTTGATTCATACAGTGGCTTTTGTCCAAACACTAAGGGCGGGAGAGCACAGAGGGGAACTTTATACCTGTTAATATCCCAAACATGGGAACAGAAGCCCTTGGTAGCAAAGGGCTTTACAGAATAATGGGTTAGGGCATGGGCCGGAGTGGGTGTGAATTACTGGCAAAATTACTTACAAGCTGTGTGACCTTAGGAGAAGTTACTTAACTTCTCTGAGATGTTTCCTTGCAATGAAATATGATCTCCAAGGTCGTGTCCAAACCTAAACTTTAAAGACTCTTAGCTAGAGCAGGCTAAATAACTGTTAGGGGGTAATTCTCCTATTTAAAAGAAAATGTAATTTAGTACTCCAAGGAGATATAGCCTTATGTGCTGAAAAAGAACAAGCTTTTTTTTGAATTTTTTGAAAGAACAAGTTACTACAATAGATGGCTCTCATCCTGGTGGAGATTTTCATTCACATCCACGTTTCCTGGGCTGGCCTGGGTCAATGTAGTGACGTCCCTCAGAGTTGTTATCGTCACTATTTAACATTTAAAGGACTCATCTTTGTTAGAAGTTGAAATCAAGATCATTTTTTCATCAGTCGGTTAGGTATACACAAATAAACATTTACCACCCTCCGAAAATTGTTTTGCTCAAATTCTGAACTGTCTACTTGATGTCAACATGGCAAAAGGATCTTTTTGCACTGAAAATGTTTCTGTTGCCTGGTTTTCAAACAGGACAACAAATGCCTGTAAGAACCGTGACCACGGGAGTGACCTGTTTGCGGAAGTTTGAAAAGCTGAATGTTTTTCAACACTTTTTATTCTTTCCTATGCCTGGAAGAAATACTTGGATGGAAAAATGGCTGTCATCTCAAGGCACTGGGGCTCAGTCGCCTGAGAGCTTTCTAGTCCTTTGATAGAGAACACCCGGGGTGGGTAGAGGTGCCTTTCCGTGGGGAGCCGGGCAGGTGAGCCTTTCTTGCTTGGTTGCTGGCTCATGAAATGAGCATCTCTGGGACGCTCTGAGGGCCAACCCTGGGCAACAGCAATGACGGTGAGACAACAGGAGAGTGAGCTTTGGGGCCACTGATCCCATATACGCCTGGTGTACGGAGCATTCTCTCCCATCCTTTTACAGAGCTCTAGATTTGCAAAGTATCGTTTATCCTAGTCACCCTACGAACTAAGCAAAATAAGAGTTATCTGTCTATTGTTCGGATAAAGAATCTGTCTTATCCACGGCCACATGGGGAGTAGCAGACCCAATCCTAGAACCCAGGTCTGACCCTAAGCCCGGTACCCACGTGTCAGATCACTTCACTTTCAGTGAGGGAGCTTTTGGGTGAAAATGTCGGCATCTCCTGAAACGCGTTTTTTTCTAGTCTTCCGCTCACACGCAGAGATGGCCCCCCAAGCTAAGCAAGGATTGCCGCCATCCATCTGTTGGTTCTAGAACCTATGATTGCTTGGTACAAGCCGGAGAAGCCAGTGCAATTTGGGAAGGAGCGTTTCCTAACGGGCTGGGGGGATTTGAACTCATACCGTGGCAGGGAGCTGTACTGGCGCTGAGCCTGCTGGAAGCTCTCGCGTTCCTCCTGTCGCTGCCGCTGCAGCTGCACCTCCACGGACACCGAGTGCCGGCCGCTCTGCGCCGCTGGCCTGGAGTTGGGCTGGAGGAGGAAAGTGCAAATCAGTAACCGGGAAGAACTACACAGATCACACAACTGCTCGACTCAGTCTCAACACTTACAAATCGACTTAGAAACATTTTGCAAATTCTGCGATTTTTTTTTTTTTGACAAAATCAAGTTTCTTTGAGAAAAGAGACCTATCACTGCTCTTAGAGCCCTAAATATTCAGTTGTCTTAAACTGTGATTTTTGGGTTTGGCATGTGGTTTAAGGTGAGAGATCAACCTTTCTAGTCTTAATAAGGTTCGGTCAACATCAACATTAGATATCAGTTTATGTTTTCTCTATATACAGCAAATGCAAGGAGAGTGAGGCTGCTCGTAAGACTAGAAAAAATTAATGACAAAAAATAAAAAAAAAAAATCTGCTACAATAATTCACAAAAGTAGGGCAGTCCAAGAGTACGCACTGGAAAGTTGGCTGTGTTGGTCAATTTTGGGGGTAGTTATATATTTCAGTGTCACAGTAGGATACAGTATAGCTAATTCCCCTTTTACTACAGGATGATAGTTAAATTTTGAGCCAAGATTAGTTTAAACTTGGCTCTATTAGCCATGGGTAGGTCTTCTCCAATCCACGGATGGTGGCCACACGGGGAACAGAAACGACTATCGAAAGGATAAACCTAAAAGCTAACAGCTACTTAAATTGGTTGTTAGGTAATGTATTTTATGTTAGTTATCAGGAAATAGCATTTTACCTGGGTTAGTCACCCCCTGTAGGAAATTTTCAGTCCTTCTGGCTAAATACTTTGGCCAGCAGGTCATCTGTGTATTGGTGCCTCTCACCCAAATCAGATTATTGAATACGCATGTTGAGCTGTGTCGATTAAGCCCCTGTGGATACGTCAACTTTGCACTGACAGTTGTCCACTGACCTCTAGATCTGGCCTTTTGAAACGAAAGTAGCTCTACTCAGAATAGACAATGATGCCTCTGACTCCACAAAACATCTAACAATGGGTTTATCATAGCATCAGTGGCAGGCACTCTTAAGTAATCCTTTCTGATGCCTGCTCACCTCTGCTTCCTTTTGTGTTACACAACATTGTTCAACAGGCATATTCTGAGTGAAGAATGTCTGTTAGAAACACGTTATTGACTTTCTTTTAGAGTTGAAAGCCAATGGCAGACTTTGGCCCTATCAAAATTTTCTAAAATAACAGAGCCTTAGCATTCATTGGAAGAGTTGTTAAGATAACACGGGGCCTTGTTACCTAAAGAATGGCTCTTAGGGTTGGTTTTTGTCTGAACAGAAATCAAGCATCATCTATTGTTCTCTTTCTGCCAAGCCAGCACTATCCTATTTGTCGATCGACAATAATGAGGCAATATATAGGACAAAAATTTCCAAGCATATGGGCATAGTCAGTGAGCATATTAAAAATATCCTGATACAAAAATAATGTGTGAGGAGATTAGGCTTTACAATACCCCAGTCTCTCCTAGTAGATGTTTATAACCACACTCATTGCAACAAATGTGTGTTCGGAGACCTGCTTCGCAACACCGTTCAAATAACACACCACTGGTGCCTTCAGCAAGAAAAACACTTCACCAAGTGAGTTCTGCTTATGCAAACAAAGTATCAACCAATTGTTCATCAACTATGTTAAAGACGACCGACATTTTCTTCCATGACACTTGCCGAGGATGGCCAAAAAGGAAACTGAACGGCTTTATTGTTCATGGCCAACCATGGGAAGTCTGGGACAAGCCACTGGACAGAGAGAAAGCAAAGTGAGAAAATACCACACAATTTCCTTTGCGCCCTCCAAGGAACCACATTTTTCTTTTCTTCTCACTCAGTAGAAGCTATATACATGTGTCAAGCAGTCTCGAAAGATCTGGCATTCTGCGGCAGGATTTAGTAACCAGCTTTTTAGACTCACGCTGTTCTGTGACACACTGCTTGCAGAGATGTGAAAGGAAAATGCAAGGTCTTGTAGAAATTTCAGGTGTATTTTTAAGTTATTTCTCCCGGAGGCCTGAAAATTTGATTCCGACAGGGAAAAAGAAAGTTGAAGGGCCTTTGTTTTTCTCAACTATGTGTTTTCTGACACTGTTCGCCTCAAACTTTATCCGCTGCAAACATCTACTTGGATCTTAATGAACTCCAGTAACGAAATTACCAGCATATGGGGCCTGAAAAACTCCAAATACATGAATGAGTTTGGTATCAGCAAACTGACATATTTCATGCTACCACGCTCGCTATTATGAAACATAAACATCAGCCTCACTGTTAATATTTTATCCCATTTCTCTTTTTAGAACATGCAAAAGGGTAGGTAATTAAAGAGAACCACCCTCATCTTTGAGATGAAACTTTAATGGGCCACCTATTTCCAGGAAGACTGCCTACATGACCAGCCCATAGCAACAATGAAAACAGTTCATCCTGGTTAAGTTTTACTCTTGGCCTGAATACAAAGCTACTTCTCTGATGCACAATTTCAATGAAGATCTCATAAAAATGTAAACTGTGGGAACAGTATTGGCAAT